CATGAATTCGAAATGTTTTAAAAATTCTGCCAGGGGAAATATTTTTTCGTAAAAATCTTAAATTCGGATTTTATGCAAATACCATCCATGGTAAATCTTTCGAATACTGGAAGGAGGTTTTATTACTATATTACTTAAACTTGTGGAAAAATTTATGTTTCTGTTGTTGTTCAGTTTAATAAGTTATATTTCAAATAATTTATGAACATTAAATTAAAAGCCATCCCAATGTATTGACTGTAGTTTTTGTTTACTTTATTAAAAAGAAAAAAATCCTTTCACAATTCTTTAGTAATTATTTTCATATCCATGGTTTCGCTTTGAAGTTCGTTAAAGTTTGCAACAATGATAAGAAAAATACTTCTTGTTGCAATTATAACATTCAACAACGCTAAACTTTTTTATTGTTAGTTACAGGTTTCTTAACATGATAAAAAAAATTTAAAAATATTTTTATATACTTTTTAACATAAACTGTGGTAAGCGAACTCTTTCGCATTGAATTTTGTTTTTCAAGAACCCATAACTGTTAACTTAATGGTAAAATTTCTTTTAGTTTATTAGAAAAATTTCTTTTAGAATAATTTTGTGTTCTAATATGTGATTTTTTGTAAAGTAAATTATTTTCAAATTATTTTCCACTATCTACATTTGAACGATTCTAAAGTTTATGTAAAGCGTCAATTTGTCCCAGTTTATTAGTAGTGCGGCTTATAAAATATCAACAAATTATCGGTTTCAGAAGTCTTTCATGTTATAAAATATTTTCCATAAACCGTAGTAGTTGGCAGAACTGTAAGAATTAGACGTTTTGTTAGTATGAAAGTAGTGTATTTAATATTGAAAAATGTTCAGATATTTATAACTATTTTTTGTAGCTGATTTACTTCCAAGTGAAAGTAAATTAAGTTATTTAATACAATTTCTTTATATTCATTAAAAATTTAATTTGTTAGTTTTTATAAAATTCCCTAAATTTAATATCCTTTTAAACTGCACAAAAAAGTCCAAACCGGAACGGTAAGTTGTTTGCCAGGGAGATTTTGCATTGCCAAACATTTTATGCAGATTTTCAAGAGTAATGACGAATTATGGTGAAAAACTTTAAAAGTGGTGATGACTGTTTTAAAGGTTTTTGTGTGATCTTAATTTTCGGAAAAAGATTAGTCAGCTAAGGAAACATATCTTAATAAACATATTTTGTTTACGGCTGGCTCTGAACTTTGCCCCGAAGATGACGGAAGTGTTGCTCATTTAATGTTACCCAGTGGGCACCTGTGAACCTAAGTCATGGAGGCGAGCAACATTATCCATGCCACATTGCCACAGATACCCGTTAATAGGGTGGTCCGCATTCACCATCACACAATAGAGAACGACACTCAGAAAGAAACATCCATGCCCTGAGCGGGATTTGAACCGACAACCATTTGACTTCACAGTCAGGTCAGTCACCTGGCCGGCTATCTTAATATTAAACAAGCCTACCGGACTGCATAGGGGTCAGGGAACTGGCCTTGTATCAGAAAGATTCTGGGTTCAAATCCCGGCAAGGCATGGATGTTCGTTCATTCTCTGTCCTTACTTTGGGAGTAACGTTGGCCCACCTAATATGGTGCCCCTGAAAGAGCGGCAACAAACCTGTTCTGTAAAATGCCTGAATTGACGAAATGTTAACACAGTTGGGCATTGGAAAAAAATCTTAATAAACAAATATACTAAGGTGCGTATTAAATAATAAAAACAATGTTTCTTCAATCTTTCTCTATCGCTCTTTATATTTTTCCAGTTTGTTGCATCCTGTGAAAAGAACCAATTGGAAAACGTTACATTTCAAATTAAAATGATGTAAATAGTGAGTTGTCATTAATAACTGCAATATTATATAAATTGATTGATTGAAGGAAAATAGTCAAGTGGTCTAGTTCAGAAGGGCATGGATATTTCTAGTGTAAAAAAAATCAGCAATTGGTTTTAATTAGCGCTGCGGAGTTGCACACTGAACTGAGAGCAATTAAAATAATTCTAATTCTTTAATTATCGTTACGGATTAAATGAATGGAAGAAATATAGAAATGTTATTGGTCTAGCATTTTTTTATTCACATTTAACGGAAACTATTTGGTCTTTAAATAAGAGGCTGCTGTTTGGATAACAAAATTAGGAAATATAAATTTAAAAAATGTCGCGTAAGTTTGAAAACGAAAGAAAAGTTTGAAAATGGCATCTACCTAGAATCCAAGAAGAACATATATTGTTACTGTATTATAACTTTTTATACTTTCTTATCTATAATAATATAATACTAATTATTAATGAATTATAATTAATTTTAAATGAATTGTTTTGAGGTATTTAATTAAATTATTCGATATAAAAAGACTGCAAAAAATTGTTGTAAGACTGTAAAAAGAATCCTTGCATTTCGTTTATCCCTCAAATCAAATGACCGTTTCTTGCTGTAAATTTTTTCTGTACGAAAAAAAATTTCTAGTGATTCAAATTGTGTCTTGAATTATGTTTCGAAATTTTTAAAAAAAAATAAACAGAATGCAAGTGTAGAATTTTCTCTTCTTAAGATTTAACTCCAGCCAATGTATTTTTTCCCACTTTACTTTTTTACATTTCGGAATGAGTAGAGTATTTTCATTAATTCACGTAACAGAACATATTATAGGTTTGCTCCTTTTTTTAGATCGTTAGATTGTTTTTTAGACCATCGATGCATTTTTTTGTCATTCAGATTTTGTTTTCAGATTTATTGAAGAATGTATAATGATTCACATTATGTCAGACACTGTTTTTCACAATTCAGAAACATAATTGTAAACAGAATGCCAATGTAGAATTGTTTCTCCCTTCGTTAAAGAATTTTAAAGAAATTTCTCATGTTGTTATTTTTTGCTTTATGAAAAAAAAGAAGGAAAAAAACAGATATTCATATTGTGTCGTTCTTATTTGTAATGTGTTGTATTTACTAAATTACTCTGATGTAAGCACAACACTGACGAAATATTTCTCTATTTTTCAAGCGAATCCTTTTTTTTTCTTTATTAAAGAAAACCTAAAGATTCGTATTATGTTAAAAAATTACAATTCTCCATCTATTTAGCAAATTACTCCGCAGTCAAAAGAACACCACTGACGAAATACCTCTCTCTTTCTCTAGTGCATTATTTTTCTCTTTGTTATTTTTTGCTTTAATAAAAAACTGAAGGTTCATATTGAGTAAAAAATTACATTTTACAACTAATTTAGTAAATTACACCATTGTAAGCATAATACCACTTACGAAACATTTCTCTAGTGAAACCTTTTTCTCTTTGTTATTTTTTGCATTATTAAGAAAAAACTGGAGATTCTTATTACGTTAAAAAATTACATTTTACAAATTTAGAAAATTACTCCACTTTAAACATAACACCACTGACGAAACATTTCCCTTTCTCTCAATTGAATCCCTTTTTTTCTTTGTTATGTTTTGCTGTATTAAAGAAAATCTGGGTCCCTCAGTGGACTGATCGTTAAGACACGGTTCCCAGTAGATCACCGAAGTCAAGCATCACTGGCTATGGTAAGTGTGCGGGTGGGTGACCACTTGGATCAGTCTGCGTAGGGACCGAGGGTGTGCGGTATTGGTCCTCGTTAAACTGTGCTACCGTAAAGTGCTCGACTTCGCGCGCAGGTCGTCGGGCTACCGAAGCGGGGGTGCCATCCCCTCCGCAGAGGATCAAAATTGTGATGGCATGTCTTCGGATCATCCTCCGGGATGTTTCCCACACCGTCGCCAATAGCCCATTGTGCAGCTCTAGTGCAACGTAAATTAACAACAACAACAACAAAGAAAATCTGGAAATTCATAATATGTTTTAAATTACATTTTACTATTTATTTAACAAATTACTACACTGATAACACCATGGACGAAACATTTATCGCCTTCTCTGGTGAATCTTCTTTTTCTTTATATTTTGCGTTATTAAGGAAAAACTGGATGTTCATATTTTGTTAAAAAATTAAATTTTACAATTAATTTAATAAATTATTCCACTTTAAGGCATAACACCACTGCCAAAATATTTCTCTTTTTCTCAATTGAATCCTTTTTCTCTTTATATTTTGCTTAATTGAGGAAAAACTGGATGTTCATATTGTGTTAATTAAATGTTACAATTAATTTTATAAATGATTCCACTTTAAGGCATAACACCGCTGGCGAAATATTTCTCTTTTGCTCAATTGAATCATTTTCTCGTTATCTTTTTTCTTTATTAAATAAAATCAGGTAATTCATTATATGCTTTAAATTACATTTTACTATTTATTTAGTAAATTACTCCATGTTAGGCATAATACTCCAAACTAAACACTACTCTCTTTCTGGAGTGAGTCCTTTTCAATTATTATATTTTGCTTCATTAAAGAAAAACTAAGGATTCATATTATGTTAAAAAATTACATTTTACAATTTATCTCACAATAATAAATACTCTAAACATGATACATGTGAAGAATCGCTTATTTCGGTCGTGAATTTATCTTTTTGTCGTAATATTTTCCTTTATTTAACAATTTATAATAAGAAATAAGAATATATAAAAACGTTATCGATACACTTTAATATCTATAAATATAATCATGATAATTATCTTTTGGATATAATCATGATAATTATCATTTACATATAATCATGATAATTATCATTATCTTATCTTTATTTCTGTGATAAATACTATTATTGAGGATTTTAATAAACAATTCAACTAAATCTTCAACTAAATATTTGTGAAAAGTTAAATGAAATAACATCATTTTTAACGTTTTTTACCAATTTGTTAGAGAAAATTAATGTTGAGACAAACAACCATAAGAACATGACAATCACAGAAAATACATTTATTTGTGACATGAAGCTCTGCATTTCGGCATATTTTTTCTCCACCAGATGTCACTATCGTCACTTTCCACCTGAAAGTTATTTCCATGGCAGGCGAGTTTCATCCTTTTCCTAACCATCAGTGAATGATTCGGATCTTTACCAATAAGATCTTTCATCTCTTCTTGTCGGATCCGTATTTTTCTCGCTTGGATAAATCATTTTTTTAGTGAACTTTGAAACGAAACTTCAAATTTTAAAATTAAAGTGTCTTAAGGTGCTTTTTTTTAGAAATTAATTTTTTTTTAGTATAATCACTTTTTTTCTTCTTCGTGTTTTAATATTCAACAAGTTTGGCTGGCGAGATAACAAAACTTTATTCACAAAGTTTTTCTAACAATCCAAGAAAAGGATTTGAAGTTGTGTCAGATGAAGAAATTCGTGGGAGAAGATAGCTGGAAAAAAAACGAAAAAGAATATCAACATCAATTTCCAAAATATGAATATTTAGGGAAAAAAACATTTTGCCGAGAAATAGTTAGAATTTGGCAATAAAACGGTGCATAGACAATGAATTCCAGTAAGATAAGATATTATTATAAAATAATCTTTGAATTCACTTTTTTTTAAATAAAATAATTCAACAATGTGCAGAAAAAATGTAAAAGATATGTGTACAAAGTTTGAAACTTTTTAAATCTAGATCTCAATGATTATTTTAATTCGCATTTATTTATTTTATTTATTTACAATACATTACAAAATTCGAAATATTGACACTAGATATTATTTGTCATCTACATTAAAACACTTTGTGGATTTTGCAACCAAATATCTCAACTAAAACTTAGAAGATTTTAGCAGCAATTGTATAGTGGAAAAAAATTAATGAATACAATTGCTCTATTCTTAAAACGTAATTCTACGCTAAATAAATGTTTTTAAAATTCCCTCATACCTTTGAAAAACAGTATTTAATTTTACTTGAGAACTCCATAAAGTTTCGAATTTCTTATTGCATCAATGATTTCTATGGCAGCACATTTTAAAAAAGGAAATTCTTTTAACACCTATAACCACGTGAAACATTGTCTCAATATACAAAACTCTATTCAGAAACTTCCAGTTAGAACACTACTCGAACTCCTCAATGCTCATAAAAATTCATTGGTATCTAATGCTGAAGTCTACCTGAAAAGTTATTACTGCTCAGATTTAAAAACGCCATCTCAAATTATAAAAGTTAATTTGGCTGGAAATTCTACCGGGAAGTTTTTTAGCTTAAAAACTGAAATGGAAGATAATTTGCAGTGCATGCAAGATTACGGATCACTTTGAGCCACCAATACTCCAAAAATGCTACTAACGGATTTAAGTACAAATGAAACGCTACAGAATAACGAAACTTTTGATTCTGCAACATTTTTTCCAGAATCGTACTTTAGCTCAACTTTTTTCAATCAATCACTCCTGGAAAATAATTATACCATGTGCCAAAACAATTCCCTCTGCAACGCTGATAAACACGCTCCCACATTCCAATCTTACACTTTAGTCAAAGGCACTATTCTACTCGTTTTGGGACTTTTGGCACTTTTTGGCAATTTGGCTACTCTTGTGTCCATCATGAGACGCCGCAGACAGAAAACTTCAACAGTTTATCTTTTGTTAGTGCACTTGTCTGTGGCTGATTTAATGGTCACATGGTTTTGCATAATAGGGGAAGGCTTGTGGACACTTTCGGTCCAGTGGTACGCGGGTAATGTCTCGTGCAAAGTGTTCAAGTTCTTTCAGATGTTTGGATTGTATCTGTCCACTTTCATTTTGGTGGTCATCGGATTTGATAGACTTTGTGCTGTGAGATTTCCCATGCGCAGGATCAAAGCTCGATTGCAGGCTCATAAATCTGTTTTTGCAGCTTGGATGTTGAGTGGGTGCCTATCATTTCCACAGGTAAGACTGCATTTTAAAATATTGCGGATTATTTTTATTATTATTATTATTTCAATTGGCAGTGAGCATAACATCCAAAAAAGTGACGAAGTTATTAAGAACACCAACACGTGGTATTATTTGAACAAAAATTCACATTTTTTAATGATAAAATTACAAAATATGCCTTTTTTTAAACAAATATGGAACCGAAACTTTCAATACTTTTAAGCCTTAAAAAGGAGTCAGATACCACATTTTAATTCAAACAATCAAGACAGTTTATAATCAGGAAATAAAGCATCACCTTGCTAATAAAATAAAAAAGAGAAGTTTTATAGTATTTTTTTTTCTACTTTTGGAACAAAAAAGATACTTTGGTTACTAAGATTCTTTCGTAATTTAAGAAATATGTATTTAAATCTTACAATACTCAGGGTTTTTTGTACCCATAAAAAAAATCAGGATGAAGAATATTAATTTTTTTGACTTGCTTTAGGATATATATATATATATATATATATACACCTGACAACTTTTAATCCTTTCGAAGATGACTTTATTTGAATTACAATTTAGGAACATGCGCTGCATTTTGAAGGTCCTTATGTGGACTACCACAAAATTATTACATATTAATATATATGCTTAATTTTTTTAAAAATAGTGGTGGTGAAAAACATAATATATTAAATTTATAAATGCAAGGAATGTATAGAAAGCATACATTTTACTATCACTTTAAATATAGAAATAAAATTTTTCGCCAAAAGCGGAAAAGTAGGCAGGCNGTCGACATTCCCTTGATTTCAGTCATTCACGGTAGCATATCATTTTTATTTGTAAATTATATATATATACAACAAAATAAATAAAGACAGCAAAAAAACACGAAGAAAGTTAAGAAAAACACTCAATTTGCGCTTTTGTTTTCATATTTTGTAATCTGGCAATCGAACACATTTTTAAATCATTCTTGAAAAATTCCCGTCCTTGTAAGTTGATCTGATTTCGTTACTCGCTTTAGTTCATTTTTATACTTTTTTTTTATTTTCTGTTTATACATGTTATTTTTACTTGTTTCTACTTTTTGTGTTCTATTTTATTTGTTGTAATTTTTATAAAAAACATTTTTGAGTGCTTCTCACACTATTGTATTAATATATTTTGCTTTGGCTTTATTGATACAATATCAGAAAGCACTCTGTTTTGCGGATATAATCGTGTGGGCTGATGAAAAGATTATATCTTTTTTTCCGGTTTTATAAATAAAATTTCATTCTTTCTTTTTTTTTAAACTGTTTGTTATTTTTTTACTTATTATCCCCCCCCCCTTTTTTTTCATATGTCTATAATTTTTCTTTGTTTTATTTTACATTTTGAACTTGTATATATATATATATATATATATGTATATATATATTTTACTTGATATGTTTTATTTTTTTTTGTTGCTTAATTTGTTCTATTTTTGCTTCACATTTTTGGAGATTCTCACACTATTGAACTGATATATTTTGCTGTGGTTATAATACAATGTTAGAAAGCATTCCTTTTTGCAGGTATAGTCGTGTAAGCTGATGACGAAATTATATCTTATTCTTATTTCATTTTCGCTCAGCTTTTTTAATTTCTCTATATTAAAAGCTTAAACAGTATTTTTTTTTTCAAAACACGAAGTGTTTGCGCAGTTAAAACGATTTCTGTTTAGATTTGCAATTAAGGCGTTATATCACTATTTCTACAGAGATCGTTAACTAGACAGAAACAGAGGAAAAACCGCAACTATGGTTTAATTCTAATTTCCGGAAAATGCCCTGGATGCTTTCAAATTTACGTAATAGTTAAAAAATCAATTATCTACTGTCAGCATCTGCACATTTTGTGTAACGATTTTTTCTAGCAGTAATCATACTTGGCAATACTCATTACTTATAACGAAAGTAAAAGTAAATTTTAATTGTTCTTCGTTACTTTTAAATTTAGTACTTTTACTCTTTTTTTCATTGCTTTTTTTTGGAAAAAGTAGAAGAATTTGTTACGAGAATGTCAAAAGAAATTACTTTTTTCTGAATTTTTTTTAAAAATTTTCCTTTTCAAAGAAGCTTTTTTTGTTTTTTTTAATTCATAAATTTATGTATTATATATTCTTTGACAGCTAACTTCTTTTTCTAAGCACCTTTAAGGATTTCAATTTCATGAAAAGGAGAGGGTGACTGGTGGGAGGGAACGTGATTCACTTACTTTAATGCATTTTATGGATTTAATGGATTTTACCTGTATATAAATAAAAAATTTTACTTATTTCTTTAAAAAAAATTATAATATTATCGAATTTGTTAGACAAATTAATTTGTTTCTAAAATTTGCGAAAGTAAGAATAAAAATTCTAAAGATTTAATAGTTTTAAAATGAGCATGATTTGAAATTCCTTTTTTGTGTGCAGACATTGAATTTTGATTTCCCGTTTAGTTTCCTTAAACTTTCACTATTTCAACAGAATTTTGTAACATTTTCCTGCATTTTAAAAATTATACCTCTAAATTAAAACTTAATGCATTTTAAATAAATTTTTCTCATATTTTTTTAATAAAATATACATTTACGTCGAATTTTCGATTTTCTCGAAATGTATCATAAAATCGCTACTTTTTTCGTTTCGTACTTGTATTTTTACTTGTATTTTTTACTCGTCACTTTTTAAAATCAATTTTTTTTTTTACTTTTTACTCGTTACTCTAGCTTAAAATACTTGTACTTTAGCTAGAGTAACGAGTACTTGTACTACTTGTACTTAAGCTAGATTTACTTTTCAAAATTAAAACTTTAAACTTTTTACTCGTTACTCTAGTTTTAAGCATTTGTAGTTTTACTCGTTACTTTTTAAAATCAAAACCTTTTACTTCTTACTCGTAACTCTAACTTTAAGTAATTGTAGTTTTACTCATTGCTTTTTAAAGTCATTACTTTTTACTCGTTACTCTAGCTTTAAGTACTCGCAGCTTTACTTGTTACTTTTTAGCCCTTTAATGAACCATTTATTTCTAGTAAAGGTAAATTAAAGTATTTTTGGAATTGAAATTGATATAAGAATGGTAATTGATATAAGAAAAAAAAACTCAGTAAGCTTATAAAAAATTAATCTAAATTTTAATGCTTTTTTTGGGAGGAAATTATATTTACCTCGACCTATTAGCAACTTATTGACTTTAATTTTCAGTTATTTATAAAATAAGCTTTATAAATGCTACAAACTTCAAAAGGAATTATATATTTTATAACTTTTAAACGTTTTTTTTTAAACTGACAAATGGTTGCCAATTTTATTCAAGCGCACTTCAAGAAAGCTGAAGTTATTAACAAATGGAAATCTAAATTCAAAGTGGTAAAAAAGTTCTCCAGTGACTTTAAGAAGTGGTGGTAAGTATAATTACCATGTCTTAAAAAAGGTTAAAATCAAAACTTTTTAATTTTTGTTCGTTACTCGAGCTTAAATTTCCTTAAGTTTTGCTCGCTACTTTTTAAAAGTAGTTTTTCTATGACAGTAATAAAGTTGCATTCATAGCTGTGAGCTAAGATTTTTTTTAAAATTTAATACATCTAAATACATCTCTAATGCACCCCATATTACATCTAAACTAAACTAATTAAGCAACTGCGAGCCTGAGGCTGCTTACGGTCTTTTACCCATTCATCCTGATCTTGATCAGGATTCGATGAATTGCCGGGATACCAACTGCTCCGCTCCCTGCAAAAGTTTTAATATATTGTTAACAATTTAAATAGTAAAACTTGTAGAATAAGGATAATTACGCCTACTCTTTAAAAGAGTAACCACGAGATGAATGCAATAAAGTTGCATTTCAAATGGTACCTTTAATATGTTATGCTAGAAAAATTACTCAAAATGAAAAATACTTAGCAAAAAATAACTTTAATTTAAATAATTGCGAAACATTCTATTTGTTAATTATTTATAAGTAATGATAATCAAAATTATTTAAAATCAAATTTATTAAATCTGGAATTAAATGTCAAAACATAAATTTTAGTTATCAATTTAAATATTGAAATAGAATCCTGTTGGAAAACATGCAGATTTGGCAACAATGGTTGTAAGGATAAATTGTCTACTTAAAATAAAATCTTGTAAAATAATATCATGTAAATAAAAGGTTTTTCTCGATTTGTAAAGTGGTTATTTCAGTAAAATTAAATAAATTAACTTACTTTTCAAACATGAAAAATAGAAAAACAAAATAGTACTTTTTTTTTAAATAAACTATGTGATGTACTTTTAAGTGTCTTGCAACTGCACAAGTTTTGTGAGTCCAGTCACTAGCTCTGATATATCTATATATTACTACAATTTTTTATTATTAATTATTTTTAGCTATGTATTAATTATTTTTAGCTGAGGGGTTAAAACACTGAACAGTCATTGAACAGCCACAAAATATTACAAAAAACATAATTTACACTATTATTTATTCATATTCAAAATTTGATATATTTGAATCCATAACTATCAGAATCACAGTAATTTATCGAAAATTGAAAATATAGATAAGGGTTTCCACGAGCCTTAAAAAACTTAATAGTGGTAGTAAATTTACTTTAAAGGGAATTGGAATTTCTTTTCTAAAGAAACCACTTATTCAGAGGTAAATTTGATTAATATTGAAATAAATATTTTTGCTTATGGTTTTGATCCTGAGTCGTGGTATAGAAAAAAGGTGATTCCAGATATGCCAAATAAGCCAGTTTCAGTGAAATTATTTAAAACTATTACGCAATGATATTTAGAAAGTGACCCGAAAAAAATGACTTTTGTATTAATGTACAAAATAACTTTTAATCTTCACCTGAAAAATCTAGCATTAAAGCATAAATTCAACTATCACTATTTTTGTTCAACTTAAAGAGGGGTAAGTTGGTATCTCTGAATGATTCTGTATAGTGGTTGCAAATTTTGAGCTTTGTAAATAAGCTATAAGCCGCTCCAATAAGTTGCTTCCGTT